CACGCTATATAACGGTTTCTTGAGAAGGGTGACATGAAGTCATGGGCCTCAAGGGGCTTTCCTGGCCCTTGGTCTGTCCCATAGGAAACACAGCTCCATCTCTCAGGGACCACCTTGAAATGGACTGGAGCTGCCCTTCGGGCCGGGTGGAGCCTCTGGGGCTAGATGTTGGATTTGGGGGTGTGGCTCCTAGAAAGAAGCCACAGCGAATATTGAGACAGGAGCAGCCCCTGGTTTCGCCAAGGTCTTGTTTTGACTCAACACTCCAGGTGGGAGAGAAACCAGAGAGGTAGCACAAGCTAAGCAAAAGTTCATTTAAAACTTAGCCTCTTAGATTGTCCATATCCATTAAGACAGTGACCATGAGCTTGTAGTTCACTCTCCAGGGCCAAGCAAGTTGCACTGATCTTGAATAGCCAGCTTTGAAGAACCAACTTACCCAATTCTAAAATGATCCGTTCTTTATGGAAGCAGTGCCGCACTTCAGGACCACAAAACGGGCTTAGGAGATGAGAAAAGGGCACTTCTGTGAAGTCAGGATATGGGGTGTCTCAGAGGAGACAGGTTAATAAAAGGAGACAGGCGACTTCACAGAAGGAAATGGATTCTCCTTTGATTAATGATGTGCAGGAAAACTTGACGTCATTATTAACGCTTATAGTATACAGATAAAATGGGCCCCACCTTAAAGTGAGCACGGGGCAGGATGTGAAGAATTCCACGGCTTTGTCACCATTTAAAAAAGTCTCTCTCTCTCTGCATTTGCATGTGCGTGTGTGTGTGTGTGTGTGTGTGTGTGTGTGTGTGTGTGTTAAGGGTTTCAAGAGAAATGGTGGTGGTAGTTTACAGAGTAAGACAGAATTGTTGTGTTTCTACTTTCAGCTCTTAGGGGGAAAATACATAAGAAGAGATGATTCATTACTGTTTGAAAAGTGCTCTGAGATCCTCTGATGAAAGGTAATTAGAAGTCAGAGATGTGAGTCCTGGATGTGTGATGACAGCCTGTGATTATCTTTTGGAGTGGCGCTAGACTATCTAGAATGCACTTCTCTCCTCCATCTCCGCCAAACAGGAAAATGGGTGCAGGGAGGGCAGGGCTGGCAGGAAGAGGAGGTGTCAGGCAAAGCCCGTAGTATTTCATATTAACCGGGAGGGAGACAGCCTGGGGACCTGGAGTCTGCGCTGAAGCTGCATGTCTGAGTGTGACCAGGGCCTGCCTTCCTTCCCCAGGGGAGTTTGCCCCCGCCCTCCACTGCCCCTTGCAATCTGAACTCTGTTGCTTTTTAGGGTGGTCTGTTTGGTCAAGTTTTCCCAGAGGATTTAATGATCACTGTCTTGTCGCAGCGGAAACCACCTTTGATTTGCAGGAGAACTGCAGCATTGTTTTCTGTTGTATTGATATCTGGGTAACAATCGTCAGCCATTAAAACCTTTACCATTCTCCGCATTTACGGATCTGCTTTTCTTAGATCATCTTTTCTTCAACGAAGTCTTATTTTGAGAGGAGGAAGCTCTGTCTACTATCCAGGACATAGCTAGAGCGACGCCACCTTGCAGTCAGGCAGCATCTCTGACTGCAGGTGTCAGGGGCAGCCGCGTGTGGTGGTCACACCTCAACTCCAGAGGTGGCTCCAGTTCTGGATCTGCTGCCCCTACTCACAGGATCTTAGGCAAGTTATTCAACCCCTCAGAGTCATGGTTTCCTCATTTGTGAAATAGAATAAGAAAGTATCTCCCTCTTTGTGTTACTGTAAGCATTTAAAGAGTAATTATGTATAACACATAATAAGGCCTCATATGTAGGAAGCACCAAATAAGGGCTTGCTGCTGCTCTTCTGTTACTACTACTATTATTATTATTTCCTAAAAAACTATAGGCTGATTTAGAGCAAATTATTATGAGTATTATTTCCATCGTTATTACAGTCTCCTAAAGAAACTAAGGATTTAAAGCAAAATGCTCAAGTAGATAAAATTATTTTTGGTATTCTCCCACTTCTATTCTTAGTCTCTCCCTTTTCCTTTTGGCTCTTCCAAATTGCTGACGCATTACCATGTGTCTGATCGTTATCATGGCTTAAGGTTTTAGAGATGTGTTAAACGTATCCCCTATGAGGGTAAGCTACTTAAGGTACAAATACCTACGAGGGTGAATTCACGCTTTCAAAGGAGACCGAAAGCTTGATGCTTTTCTGAAAGATGCAGTAATAAACTCTGTAGACTTCCAGAACTTTAAATCTGGACTGCAGGGGCCATCAAGTTCAAGCCCAGAGGAGGCAAATGATTCACCCTTGGAGACAGGCATAGTTGGTTAGTGACAGAGTGGGTCTAGAGTCTTGGGTTAAATTAGTCAATAAATGAACATGGTATGACTCCTTATAAAGCTGCTTCTACTGAACTGCACTGTGGCAATATGCCATCAGTCTCCGGAAAAGGATGTTATAAGATTGCTTATAAAACTTCTTTTATGCACTGAAGGGGGTGTTGCTGAGGATGTCATCCTGATACATTTTATGAGGACACTTGAGGGGCCGTATCTTTCACTTCTAAGTACTGGGAATAGCTGGTACTTATGAGACAATTGTTTTCATCTGATGAATGCCCTGAACTTTTTATGTGATCATTGATCCGATGATCAATGCTTTTTGCATTGGCCACTGGGAAGCTCAAGAACAAATGTACATTCTATCTCTGTGAGTAAAAGCCAATAGCTACTACAAGTTACAGATGTTCATTACAGCTGAAAACTTTGGAGGCAGTTTTTCTAAGCTGTGTTCTACTGGTCACTGGCATCCTCTGACACTATGGGTATTTCCTGGGAGGAAGAGGAGTTTTGGGGTCGTTCACATTGCATACTTTACCTCCTTCTTGGATATTCATGATGTACGTATTGGTATCTTCAAGGCTCTGAGAAGTCTGACAGTTTAGAATCAAAACAAAAAGAACTTTTAAAACTGTGTTTAGCCCTGTACTTGTAAAACATATTTGATCACAGAATCTTCTTTAAAAATTATCTTAGAAGTCTCTAATTTTATATGAAACACGTTTGGGGAACCCTGTCTTCAGTAATCTGTAACCTAATCCTGTTTATTGGATTTGTGGCAGTACAAAAGTTGGCTCTTGACAGGGTAAAATGTGATTCTTTCTGCTCTTGCATAGCAGATTGAGAATCCAGGTGTGTATATTGGACCACATGACTGATGAGGTCCCTTTGAGCTCTAAAATTCGATGATTCCTGATTTTAAAAATGAAGAAAAGTGTCTCAAGAGTATCTGCTCATAGAATAAGAATTTAAGTTTACTAACATGAAGACTAAAGTTAGAGATCAAAACATTGTATGTAACATTTCTGGTGCTATTTATCCACGTCTAATCTGAAAGATTGCTTTAAAAATCATATTTATAAAAACAACTCTCAGGAGAGTTGACAAAGATGCACATTTCCTTTGAAAAGCCTCTAAGTCGAAAGATATAAGATTTTTCATCTGAACTCCTGTTTGGGTGTAGAATTTACAGCCCCCCTTCCTGCTTTGATAAAGGCGTTTCTAATGGGGGTGGTGCAGCTTCATGGTGTATCTGCAGGGGGTTGTGCAACTCGATTTACTGCTGAAGCATGTGGCCCACGCAGAGACTGCATTGTTCATTCACAGGCACCTTTGCCATTAAGACCCTTCCCTTCCACTCTCCATTAAAACTCAACACACAAAAACCAACAGCAAGGTCCTCAAACCCCAGCCATGTAGGTATTACTTGGGTGGGAGCCTGGGGCTTGCCTCAGACAACACACCCAGCTTCTGGAATTGTTCCATCCTCTTGACCAGTGAGCCAGACCCAAGGGGAAATAGCAAGGCAGAATCCCCTTCAAAGAGAGGCGACGGGCTGCGGGCAGCAAGGACAGGCTCTCGTGCCTGGGTCCTTGGTTGGCATCCAGCTTCTCCCACAACCTCCTGGACATGGCACCATAACTCCAGTGGCTTTCATTGCCTCTCTGTGTATGACCAGAGAGGGTGTGATTTCATTATTTCTCGGGGCCATTTGTCTCTCTGAATGTATTTCTGAGTTTTTCTCCCTGTTTGACTATGCCTACTATGTGTCAGGCATTATGTCGCAAAAATGCATCTGCCCCAGGACTTCCCTGCTGGCACGGTGGTTAAGAGTCTGCCTGCCAATGCAGGGGACACGGGTCCGAGCCCTGGTCCAGGAAGATCCCACATGCCGCAGAGCAACTAAGCCTGTGCGCCACAACTGCTGAGCCTGCGTGCCACAACTACTGAGGCTGCGCGCCTAGAGCCCCTGCTCCGCAACAGGAGAGGCCACTGCGATGAGAAGCCCGTGCACCACAAAGAAGAGTAGCCCCCGCTCGCTGCAACTGGAGAAAGCCCACACGCAGCAACAAAGACCCAACACAGCCAAAAATAAATAATAAAAATAAATAAAGAAATTTATTTTTAAAAATGTGCATGCCCCTGTCCTTGCCCTTGAGGAAGTCACCATGTTGAAGAGCAGATGGGCACTAGAAAAAATTTTTCATCCAATGTGACGGAGACTCCAAACAAGCCGTGTATAAAGAGCAGGGAGGTAGTGATGGAGGTGACATTTGAGTCAGGTCTTAGACAATGTGCTGGACACTGATTTTTCCATTAATGGAATTACTTTTTCTGCTTAATGGCAACCAGCCTGCTAGAAGGGGAAGTATAAACCAATAACTTATTTTGGATTAAGTCAGCAGACTAGCTGACCAAGCCTATTAGCTAAAGGCTAGACTCTGATGTCCAGCAATTCAGTGAATATTCAGGCTTTAATTCAGTTACTGGAGGATGAGACCATCTGGAAAGTGGACTCTCTAGAACTTACTCTCAAGTTTCCTATTGTAAAGATGTTCTAGGGATAGTTTTGATTTTGGAAACTCCTGGAGTTAGCTTTGCTTTATGTTTAATAAAGTCTAGTTTCCCAATTTCATGGCAGACAGAAAATAAATGACATGTTTAAATTGCTGTACAGGTGAAAAGGAAGATCACTGCTGAAGAACGAGTTTTAATGTAAATTTCAGAAGACATTTTACAAAGTGCATGAACATATCAGGTAAGCTGGCTCCCGGAGTTTGCTGTTCTTTAGAGAGCTGACACTGGAAGGTGAGTAGCAGACCTAGTGCTGGGCAGAATTCTGTGGAGTTTTTTCAAGTTCCTTTTACAAGGAAAAACCATGGGTGTCAACCATGTGACATGATATCCATCACTTCCCTGGCTGTACAAATAGTTCTCTAATTTGATGTTAGTAGATCTTTCACTTTAGCAAATACTCTTTTTCTTTAGATTCAGCATTTCAGATCTCCTCCCACACCCCAAAATTCAATTTAATTATGATTTTTGGCTATCTGTGTTTATTATATTTAGACCCAATAGTAGCTTTGTCTTCTGTTCTGTCATGGGGTTGAGATAGAATCCATCCAGCTGTTTTTCCAGACCCCAAACTTAAATTGTACCCTTCACCACCAAAACCATGGGACTGGCTTAACATTTGAAAGCAGCACTTATACATCTGTTTCCGATTTGAAACTTAGGTTCTACTATTTCCAGACTTGAGAGTTTTGCTTCTCACTGTTTGTTATCATACACTTCCTCTTGGCATTGCAGTGGGTACGTGTGACTCCTACCAAACCTCAGACTACTTAAGAACAAGGAATGGGTTTCATCTGTCTTTATATTCCATAACTTATTACATAAAGGCGGTGCTTAATAAATAATTTGTTAAACATATATTATACATGTATCCTAAAAGTTCATAAATTGGACCATCAGGTGCAGGTTTCCCTGGGTAAGAGGTGAAAAAGCGAAAGTACCATGTATACAGGTGTCAGAACTTGACTTCTCTTAATAACTTTTTTTAAAAGGGCAGATAAAGGAATCTCCTTTTAAATAAATGTGAATTCCTCCCCAGCGTGATCCAAGGATCGTGATTTACTTTGTGGTCAAATGAGACACTTTGCTTTAAGATCTTGTATGTGTGGCTCATATATTGTCTCAAGAAAGATGCCATCTGAACTGTGAAGTGAAAGGCCTTCCCTCTGTGGAAGGGCTGAGGCAGAGCTGCTTCAGTGTTTCTCATCTGAAGTCCCAGTTGCACACTAGCTACCATTTCCTGAGCATCTGCCCTGTGCCAGGCATTCAGACATATGATCTCAGTTAATCCTCACAAGGATTCCGAGGCTTACAGGGGTTAAATGGCTTCCCCAAAGCCCCACAGGTAAACATGTTGGCAGTCAAACCTATGAACAAGCCTCCCCCAAGTTGGCGTTCTCTCAGCACTCCCTGTCTTGGTGAGTGAAAATTTTAGCATCTACTTCCTCCAGCGAGAAATCCTCTTCCTATATCCAACTTCTGAGTCCTGCGGAGGTAACATCCACCCATCTGTAGACTCCCTGCCCGGCTTCCGTTCAGCCCAGCTGCCATCTGCCCTCCGCGGACAGCCCAGTAGCCTCTGTAGTAGTCTCCCTTGCCCTCCTCAAATCTAGTCCCAATACTAAGCTTAAGTGGTCTTCTCAAAAGTCACATGATTTTCCTGATTAAAAATCCTCCAGTGATTTTTCTGTTCACTCTTAGAGACCAGAGTCCTTAGCCAGGCTCACCGTGCCCTCCTGGCCTGGCCCGTGTGACCACCCAGTCTCTCATTTTCTGGGCCTCCACCCAACCAGCTGGTCCCTCAGCCTGGAATATTCTTCCTGTCCCTTTCAGAGTCTAGGTTGATGCCCACTCAGCTGACGGAGCTCAGCTCAACAGTGTCTTCCTCAAGGGACTTCTATGTACTTTTTTGGCATCGTGTGCTTCTCCTTCATAGTGTTTATTTTTTATATTTACTTGCTTTATTATTGGATTACTGTCTGGCTCTCTCATGAGTCCGTAAGCTGCGTGAGGGCAGGGACCATGTCTGTTTTCATTCACCAGATCTTAGCCCAGAACCTGAAGGGAGCAGACAGTTGATGAGTATTTGTTGCATAAACAAATACTTGTTGCATAAATGCACTAACCACTGGCAAGTGACAGAAGGGAGATTTGAACTTAAAAGTTCAATGTCCCCCGGGACTTCCCTGGCGGTCCAGTGGTTAAGACTCCATGCTTCCACGGCAGGGGGCACTGGTTCGATCCCTGGTTGGGGAACTGAGTTCCCGCACGCTGCCTGGCGTGGCCAAAAAAAAAAAAAAGAAAAAAATAGTTCAGTGTCACCTGTCTTTAGGATGTGGCCAGAGCTCCAAATGGTGATGACTGAATGACGTGTGGGGACAGAGGAAGGTGGAGGTCGGGAGTCCGGCTCAGGGACAGGAAGGGGCTGTCGACTGAGCTCGTGGTCATCGAAGATTCCCTGAGCTCCAGCCCCATTCCAGGTACTTTACGTACGTTCTCAAAATTAATCTCTCTCAACAAGCCTTCAGGAGGTTAGGCAACTTGCCAAGTCACCCAGAAATCAAGTGTGGAGTCTAGGTTCAAGCCTAGGCCATTTGGCTGTTGACCCATGTTTGTGACCCCGTTGCCATCTGTCCTTGCCTTACCTTGTTCCATGTTTTCCCCCTCACTATGAGTCCCTCTCTGGTCTTGGTTTCTGTTCTTTTTCTTGTAAATCTGCACTTATTTCTTCTTTAACTTATCATCCATATCTCTTCTCTTCCCCCACTTCTTTTCTCCCTTCCTCCGTCTTCCCTTCCTCTCTCTCCCTCCTAATTCCATTAGAGATGAGAACCATGACGTTATCTACCTGAAATTTATATTTCGGGAAGCTTTCTACCAGCAGCCAGATGCTTCTTGCACACTTTGCAACTTGGTAGAACAAAATGCAGTTGAGAATTATAAATGTGTAAGCCTGTGTCCTCTTACTTTTATGATTGGTTAAGGTTCAGTTTTAAAATCAGCTCCGATTTTGAATCTGAACTACTAAAGGTAGTAAAAGCAATATAAAGAAAAGGAAATAAACTTCAAAACTGGCCTTTTTTTTTTTTCCTGTGAGAAGTTCAGTATAAATTGTGGAGATGCTTCTCAAATAAAATTAGATTCCGCCGCTGCCTGCTGCTTCCCTCCGCATTTCATCTCTTTTCTCTAAATCGCTGCAGCCTCTCTTGGGACACTAGGTAATCTGAAGAAAGAATAGGGTGTTCTGGCACCACGAGTTCTACAGAGAGCTAAGGCACATTGATTTGCATTTCTGGGTCAGCATGATTTCACTTTCACTTAACCCTTGTACTGACCCTTGTTTTTCAGCACTTTGGCTCTTTCTGTGGTCCATCCGGGAGCATGCAATGTCCTTGACCCACAGATGGTAAGTGTCCCCTGGCAACCAAAAGCTTGCAAACTGCCCCAAACTCCCCTCTTCAATGTTTCCAGCATCACTTAGGTCCTTTGAGTGAGGAATTGACCAATATCTTAGGTGTCTGTGAATGCAGATTTTATTTACATTTGCAAAGGTAGTTTTGTGTGTTAATGGAAGATGAAATAAACATTAGAAATCACATTATTCACATGTGTCCACGGCTGCCCGAGTTTTGCACCTCTTGTGTGGTTGTTAATCCTTGATGTAATGAGAAGAGTAATGGAGGACGATGGATGTTGTATTCTGTCTCTCTTGGTACAAGTCATGCTGGGGATTCTATGAACACCCACAGCGTGTCGGAAAGAGCGACATGACATATATCTAGGGCTTCAGAATAAGGCTGTTTCTGCTGTCTTATTCACAGTGTAATTTCTCGTAAGAGGGAGCAAAGACCCCAACAAGATTTAATTACTTGCACTGTGACAGGAACGGGTTATTAGTTGTCCACCTGTAGTGAGGTCCACTTGGCCAGAAGACCCTGTGTGAAGATAAAGATGCACTAAGATACAATGTGCTATACAAATGTGGGCCGGGAGCTCAATGTCGCAATAATTGAGATGGAATATTAATGAAATGTTTGCCTGCCAAAGCTTTAACTCAGTTGGTAAGAATAATTTTATGGCTTTTTTCTTAATTATAGAAGTAAAATCATAATTGTATGATATGTGAATTATATCTCAAACAACTGTTTTAAAAAAGTAGTAACAAGAACATTATAGAAGAGACAGGTAAACAATGAGAATAAAATAAAAATACCAGTAATTCCAGTTCCCAGAGATAACCACAGATAGCATGATATGTTTTCTATTATTTTTGGTATGTGAAGACAAAACTGTGAAATAGTGTAATAAGTAGTGTTGAAATCTTTTAATGAGTTATGATCATTAAATATTCTTCTCCCTCTGCACAGTGTTCTGTCATTTGAGTGTTTTATAAAATTTGAAGCAGTTCTCTATTATCGGACGTCTGGGCTGAATCCAAGTTTTTGACAGTGTGTGTAGCTCCGTAATGAACATCCTTGTAACTATATATTTGGGCACTATGATGATTTCTTAGATACATTTCTAGATATCTAGTTGCTCTAAGAAAACGTACTCTTTTAAGGCTTTAAAACCCACACGTACACATATATTCCTTCAGAAAAGTTGAATCAATTTATACTAGCAGTGTATGCCATTGTACTTATTTTTATATACATTCCCCAACATTAGATATTATTTAAATTTTTTTTCCTGTTTGACAAGTGAAAAATAGTATCTTATACTAGTAATTTTGACTCCTTAGGTTCTTAATGAAGTTAAACATTCTTTTGTATAACTATTGGTCATTTAAAAATCACTTATTTATTTATTTATTTATTTATTTTGCTGTATGCGGGCCTCTCACCGTTGTGGCCTCTCCTGTTGCGGAGCACAGCCTCCAGACATGCAGGCTCAGCGGCCATGGCTCACGGGTCCAGCCGCTCCACGGCATGTGGGATCTTCCCGGACCGGGGCACGAACCCGTGTCCCCTGCATCGGCAGGCAGACTCTCAACCACTGTGCCACCAGGGAAGCCCTTATTTATAATTTTAAAATCATCTTTCATATATGTTGCTTATCTTTTTGTTATTTTGTAAGATTTTTCAAACAATCTAATGAGGCTATTAATTCTTTGTCATCCTTTGATTTAAGTTAAAAAAACAAACAAACTCTACTGAAATGAAAGTGGTGCAGATTTTTCCTTAGAAAAAGAGCAGTTTAGCTGAAATCGGTGGTAGAGACACAGCCTACTCATGGCTACATTCACCGGGTACGTGGATGGGTTTGTTAACTTAGTGTATATACCTCAGTTGTTTTCTGGCAAATACTCCTAAATCAAGAGCCAGAAAGCATCATCTTTACAAATAACTGTGGTTTCATTTTGAGATACATAAATTATTATTTGAAGTGAGATAAAAATTATAAACAATTTTCAGCATTAGCCAGTCTTATATTTATATCATCCATTTCCAAAGAATTTTAATTCAAAATATTTTTAAAGGTCAATTTATGTTTTCTTTTAATTCACTGCTTCATGGGTGGGGTAGTTATTTTCTCTATTTTAGGAGTAATCTAAGTGGGGACAAACATGGGTCAGAACTTCAAGACAGACAAAAGGAACTTCTAAGATTGGATGATGTCTTGGACTGCATTCTTAAAGAGAATTTAAGATGTTTGATGATATTGTGTTCCTCTCTCTCTCTCTCTCCCTAATTGGCTGCATGACCTTAAATAACCCTCGTCTTTGCCTCTACCTGCCTGAGGCAAGGGGGTGGGCGGGGATGGTCGAGCCACCAATGAGATGGCTTAAGCATGCAGTATTTTCCAAAATTAAGATGGTTAATCATTTCAAAGTATCATTTTTTCCCTGCTACGTAAAAATGTAAATACGCTGGGTGTGCGCGCACTCACTCACGTCTATTAGTTTGCACACACATTTTGTTGCCTGATCACTCATCATTGAAAAACATTTTCTCCATTTTGCCTTTCAGAATTGTCAAATGTGTACATAGTTTTTCAAATTTCTAATAAGATTGCTATGTTTTAATGATTGGCGGTCACTCCTCTTATTAACTAATGGAGATAGTGATGGTTACATCTTAACCTAAAGAGGTGTGTAAGGATAAGTAAAGGGGTCTGTTAAGTCGCCCCTCACCTAGAAAAGGACTGCTGTCTTTAAAACAGCAATGTCGTCACTCTTTTCCAGATTGTGGGGTGGGAGTGAGGATAATACTTTAAATGATGAAGTTGGCATTTCCCATCTGTTGTACTTCAAACACAGGCCTCTTTCTCTCTACCAGTCACAAATATAAAAACTCTGCCGATGGTTTGACCATCTGCATTTCCCATCATACCTGTTTTCACACCTGGAGATTCAGTGCAGGTCTTTTTTTTTTTTTTTTTTTTTTTTTGCGGTACGCAGGCCTCTCACTGTTGTGGCCTCTCCCGTTGCGGAGCACAGGCTCCGGACACGCAGGCTCAGTGGCCATGGCTCACGGGCCCAGCCGCTCCGCGGCATGTGGGATCCTCCCAGACCGGGGCACGAACCCGTGTCCCCTGCATCGGCAGGCGGACTCTCAACCACTGCTCCACCAGGGAAGCCCAGTGCAGGTCTTTGACTGATGTTTTTCAAAATTGTCTCATAAAATCAAAGGACAGACAAATAATATTTTTCTAGAATTGTGAACCAACGTTCACAACTTTTGTTACTGCTCTTAGAATTGTTAATAATCTTAGCCTCAGGTGATTTCAAAAATGCTTTTTTGTTGTTGTTTTAAAGCAAACCATGACATTCTTACTAGCTGCTCGTGTTTACCAGTGTCATAGCTTAAGATTAAAGCAGTGGGTGATAGTAGTCCCAAATTCAATATTAAGTGCAGAGTTCCATATTCAACTTTAATTAAAATATTTACATGCTCATGGTTTGCCTTCTCTTAGGGTTACGTTTGTCAGCTGGCAGGCTCTGCTAACTGAATAGGTATTTAAAATGCCACTTTGAATCTGTCTAAGGCTGGAACATTATTCTGAATTATTACTAAATTAGCCATTTCCGCAGACCTGTCTGCCTCTGTCTGGCTTGGTACCAAGCCCAGCTTAGGATCCAAGGGCTGCCTTAGAACAATGCAGTAGGCCCCAAGTTTCCTTTTTTCCTTAGTCACTACTCAAGCAGCAATTTGCTTACTTTTGCTGTTTCCTAATTTTTCAGAGGAATGACAGACAAGCTATTAAGCTTCGGTTTCTCTCTAGATCCTATCAGTTTCCTCAAACACAGTTATCTCCCCTGTTAGCCCCTGGTGTTCTGCTGGGGATTAGTGGGTCCCACTGGCCAGCTGCTGCCTCTCCCCTGCAGCTCTATTTGCTTTTACGGAGCAGGGAACTGATTCCACTAAATGTTATACACATGGAGACCCTTTAGCAGGAACAGCAGTGCAGAAACAGGAGCTCTCATTGCTTTCCTGACATCAGGCGAAAGGACCTGGCCACTTAAATATCACATTTTTTACTTCCTTTTCAGTTCAGGTGAGGGAGGAGGTGCAATCTTGGGGCAGAATGAAGCTGGCCCTGGCTAGGGTCGTTTTTGTCTGTTAACCCTACCCCAATGAGATTTTAAATAATTATTAATAACTTTGGAAGGTCCAGGGCACAAGGAGATGATTAAATACAAGATTTGGACCATCCACTCTGAACCATGTAGCATTACTAATGAATATGATAAAAGAAACTTTCATCAGGTTAAGAATGTTGCTGCCTTCTTGGTAGGTTTACTTCCTTCTTTCTTTGTAAAGCTTCACAGTAAGTAACCCAGAGTGAAACTAGAACTTGGTGTGGGGAAAGAGGATGGGGTGGAGGAACGGTCATGTTATTAAGTTATTGCAAATGTAGTGACTGGTGATTTCACACGTACGCATTCCACGTTACAGGAAGCTCACACGTCTAAGAGACCATGCCCTGATGGCCCCTCACCACCAAATTTTCCATTCTCTGCCTCTAAGATCTCAGCTTCCCGAAGGCTTGCTTATTTTATCACGTCAATTACTTTTCTATAGTGAAGGAGGAACAGGTCACTCGAATTTCAAGAATAAGGAAGCAAGCTACGTGAATCAACCAGATCTAAAGGACAAAAGAGATTTCTGTCCAGTCATTTGCAGACTATAGTGTGTTCCTCCTTCACTCCACAATGCTTCCTTTGAGATGGCTTTTTTTTTTTTTTTTTAAATAACGGAAACAAAATAATCTTGCCAGTAGGGTCATGGAAAATTTTACCAACTTCATTTGTTCACAGTTGCCCATCCCTTCTCATTTCTTCCCCTTCTTTATATGTAAAAACTTCCTTTTGAACTTCTTTGATTTATTTTTCTATTATAAAAAGCAATTTATAATAAAAGCTTATAACGATTTGAACAATGTTAAGGCATATAAATGAAAACACATGCTCCCTCCCCCAGTGCCATTCCTTCCAGCCACATTCAGTTTTTACCTGTTCATAGAGCCAGAGTCCGTTAGGGTTTCTGTGAAGCCTTGGCAAAGGCAGTACAGAAGTACGGAGAAGGAAGGAACTGAGTGCCAACAAGCCTGCTTCCCAAAGATGCACAAAGTAAAGGGAGGAAAGAGAGCATGAACTAGACCAAGGAGAGATGAGGAGAAAGAGGCAGCTCCTTGAGGGTAGAGTTTCTGCCGTAACCATCTTTATAACCTTATCAGACTAGGAAAATGCCTACTGGATAGTGGTGCTGAAGAATGAATAAGAACGAAGAGCTTAAGCAGAGGCTGTTGAAGTAATTTAGGCCTTTGCAGTCTGTCAAAGGCTTTCTTGCTTGAATTTTACATGTCTACCTTGGGTTTTTCATCTGTAAGCAGCCAGTAGGTGCTACTTTGAGGTTGAGTACTACAGGTAGTTGCTAAATTGAACCAATAGTTGCTAAATTGAACCAATAGTTGCTAAATTGAACCAATAGTAAAGATAAAAACCTGTTTGGAACAAATCCATACTTGGAAGAGGACGTTTCTGAACCATTTTTATCATTTTTTACACTCTAAATATAAAGTTTTTATTTGAAAAGTGCTCTTTAAAAATCCAATGTTTATTAATAGAACAACTGTTTAAATAACTTTCTGATTGTCTGAGAAATTCCTTATAAAATCTGAATAAAGTTCAA